GCACTTCATGATTTGGTATGACAGTAATAACAACACAGTGTAGTTTTAACAATTGACATGCTATTAATAGCACTTCATGATTTGGTATGACAGTAATAACAACACAGTGTAGTTTTAACAATTGACATGCTATTTAATAGCACTTCATGGTTTGGTATGACAGTAATAACAACACACAGCATAGTTTTAACAATTGACATGCTATTTAATAGCACTTCATGGTTTGGTATGACAGTAATAACAACACACAGTGTAGTTTTAACAGTTCTCTAACCTGAAAATATATTTCAGGTAGACACTAACAGAACAAAGAGTTATAACCTTGTGGCACTGCCCAGAATATTTTTGGGAATGTAATAAGCCTTCAGTGAATCTCCCACTCCGACACACGTTAACATGGACTGCTTCAGCCCATGATAAAATCATCATTAGACTATAGCTCTCCACCAGGAGGAAGGCAACATCCTTTCCAAACAGTTAATCCCTGTGAACACTAGCATTACAACATAGACTCATCTATGCTAACTTCAGAAATGGTACACACCTCTCTGCAAAACAGGGAGTTAGAAATTATTGGGTGGTAAGAAGCTTACTCTAGTCATTATACCTCAGGAGGTCAGCAGAGTATATATGTTTAGTGTGGTTAGGGCAATACATCAGGTCATACATCACTGGAGAAATAGTTACCAGAATAAGCAGATGTAGGAAGAAACCATCTCAGGCTTTTATTCTGAGAATAAAACCCACCAGAATGGTTTGGTTCTTTGTTTAGAGTGTGGCCTGCATTACACTTCCAGATGATATCCCAGCCCTACTTCCCAATGAGGGGAGCATCCACTCAGTCTCATGTAAGTTGGATTAAAAAGATGCCAAGAGGATCTCTCCGTATCAACCTCCCCACCATACTGAGGCTGGAGAAACTCTCATTACTGCACTAGAATAATAATGGTGATTTACATAAGGAAGAAAATTGAAGAGGTGTGTGGACAAAAACAGGAATCTTCTATGATAAAGTTCCACATTGATAGTACCATGGGTTATTGCAAATAGGAACAGCAGGTGCTAGCCAGGTGTTAGGGCAGGCACACACCTTATGCTGTAATTTTCTCCTCTTTTTTTTTTTGTCTGAAGTATACAGCCAGGAAGGTAGAATATGTATATAAAGTCTTGTGTAAAATCCTATTTCAACAGCAGACACTGAGCAGGAGCAGATGAGTATAACCTTTAAAATCAGCATTAGGCAATAAGGTTTAACTGAAAGCTAAAGGATTAAAGGCAATGTCAAAATCCTGTAATTCAGAAAACAAAGAAATAAATTAAACTTATTATGACACAAACAGTGTCAGGAAATAATGAGCCTCTGTGGTAATGCTAATATTACTGGGGTTTACTGCACATGAAGGACGTGTTGTCCTCCTATTCCTGGACAACTACAGTGTAATGATCATCCCACCATAAGCTTCTTCAAGTTTCCTTCAAGGTCTGTGGAATTTTCAAAAATACTTTCAGCAGCAGTGCAACGTAATAGCCCTTTGTTCTGCAGTGCCATGAGTCAGAAGTTAATACTGGCATGCTACTTAATAGCATGTGATAGTTTGGATACGACACCTAGCAATAATGGTAGATATTAATATAGTTCTTTCTACCCTTCTTATTTTCACAGAATTTTAGCATACTTTATACATGTTCAATAACTACTTGGGGTTTGTTCAACTTGTCATAAAAATGTAACACAAAAACATTTCCTCTTGTTTAATAACAAATCGTATATTAGAGTTTTAAGAAAGCATTTCATATTGCCATTCATGCCACTATAACATAAAGGAAACTTTGAGTTAAATGTGGCTAAACAAGTACATGCAATGGTCAAAATGGAAAGTTGAGTGTAGAAACTAAAGCTATGTTACATTTTCTAAAGATACAAAAACTACCAAATAACATTTATTAACTGTCAACATGAGAGCTAATACTGATCTGAACAACAGCTTTCACTCACTGACTGGTACTCTTATTAGAAGAATACTGCTTTACTCCACAGCATAAACGTTCAGTTTAACGTAATATTATTGTACTATCGGGCCTCAAATGGGTTCAATTTGAGAGAATAAAATCTCAGACAAGTTTGGAAAACTACGATGGAGGACTATCATAATATGAGAGTAAGTTTAGAATAATAATGTATATATATATATATATATATATATATATATATTTATAATATAACTAAGTAAGTAAATAAGTTAGTTAATAGTAGTAGTACGTAGTTATACTAACTAACTACTACTATATAGTAGTTTAAATTTAAAATTTAAACTTA